AGAATTCCAGAGAATAGCTAGAAGAGATAAGAATGCCTTCTTAAATGAACAGTGCAAAGAAATAGAAGAAAACAATAGAATAGGGAGGACCAGAGATCTCTTCAAAAAAATTGGAGATATGAAGGGAATATTTCATGCAAAGATGGGCATGATAAAGGACCAGAATGGCAGGGACCTAACAGAGGCAGAAGAGATTAAGAAGAGGTGGTAAGATTACACAAGAAGAGCTTAATGTCCCTGATAACCACGATGGGGTGGTCACTGACTGCAAGCCAGACATCCTGGAATGTGAAGTCAAAAGGGCCTTAGGAGGTCTGAGCAACAACAAAGCTAGTGGAGGAGACAGTATTCCAGCTGAGCTGTTCAAAACCTTAAAAGACGATGCAGTAAAAGTGCTACACTCAATATGCCAGCAAATTTGGAAGACTCAACAGTGGCCTCAGGATTGGAAAAGGTCAGTTTACATTCCAATTCCAAAGAAGGGCAATGTCAAAGAATGTTCAAACTACCACACCATTGCACTCATTTCACGTGCTAGCAAAGTTATGCTCAAAATCCTACAAGCTAGGCTCCAGCAGTATGTGGACCGAGAACTACCAGAAGTACAGGCGGGATTTCTAAGAGGCGGAGGAACTAGAGATTAAATTGCCAACATATGCTGGATCATGGAGAAAGCTAGGGAGTTCCAGAAAAACATCTACTTCTGCTTCATTGACTATGCTAAAGCCTGTGACTGTGTGCATCACAACAAATTGTGGCAAGTTCTTAAAGAGATGGGAGTACCAGATTTTCTTATTTGTCTCTTGAGAAACCTATATGTGGGTCAAGATGCAATAGTGAGAACTGGACACGGAACCACTGACTGGTTCAAAATTGAGAAACGAGTTCAGCAAGGCCGTATACTGTCGCTCTGCCTATTTAACTTATATACAGAGCACATCATGAGAAAGGCAGGGCTAGATGAATCACCAGTTGGAATTAAGATTGCTGGGAGAAATATCAACAACCTCAGATATGCAGATGATACCACTCTCATGGCAGAAAGTGAAGAGGAACTAAAGATCCTCTTGATGCAGGTGAAGGAGAAGTCCGCAAAAGGTGGCTTGAAACTCAACATTAAGAAAACTAAGATCATGGCATCCGGTCCGCTCACTTCCTGGCAAATAGATGGGGAAGAAATGGAGGTAGTGACAGATTTTATTTTCCCGGTCTCCAAGATCACAACAGACGGGGACTGCAGCCAAGAAATTAAAAGACGCTTGCTCCTGGGGAGGAAAGCTATGGCAAATCTAGACAGCATACTAAAAAGCAGAGACATCACCTTGCCAACAAAAGTGTGTATAGTCAACTATGGTTTTCCCAGTTGCAATGTATGGCTGTGAAACATGGACCATAAGGAAGGCCGAGAGTTGAAGAATTGAGGCCTTTGAATTGTGGTGCTGGAGGAGACTCCTGTGAGTCCCTTGGACTGCAAGGTGGTCAAACCAGTCAGTCCTAGAGGAGATCAACCCTGACTGCTCTTTAGAAGGCCAGATCCTGAAGATGAAACTCAAAATACTTTGGCCACCTAATGAGAAGGAAGGACTCCCTGGAGAAGAGCCTAATGCTGGGAACAGTAGATGGCAAAAGAAGAAGGGGACGGCAGAGGATGAGGTGGCTAGATGGAGTCACTGAAGCAGTCAGCGTGAGCTTAAGTGGACTCCAGGGGATGGTGGAGGACAGGAAGGCCTGGAGGAATGTTGTCCATGGGGTCGTGATGGGTCGGACACGACTTCGCGACTAACAACAACAACAACTTGTACTTTTGGAGGATGTGTATGTAAATCCACTGCAGGCATCCTCAGCACTGCAGCAATTTAAATAATTAAATTGTTTCTGGATGCAAAGAGGAGTAAGAGAACTCCAGTAAAATTGACAAGGCTGTCTTTGGAACAGTGTAGATCATCTTTAAGGTTTTCCCTGCTCAAAGAAAAGTGCTCACAATTATTGGATGGGTCTACCAGGGAGGTCCCAGTTTTTGTATTAAAGCCTCCTGCAATTAAGGGATAGGCCAAAGGGAATTTTGCCAACTGTTCTACATAAAAGCTTTCATCTTTAAGCCAGTGAACCTAAACAGCTTCTCTCTACAAGCCAGCAGAGGATGAACAACATTAAAAAACAGAACAGATAGTCTCTTACCTCTTAGCTCCACTACTAGAGCCAGCACAAAGGGACAGCCTTTGCGAAGATCTAGAGACAACGACACCAACAAACATGAACCTTATCTGGCTCTATCTTTGCCTTTATTAGGAATTGATAGGGTATAGTGGGACACAAATCCATGAACATGAATAAGGACCGCACTCCAAGTTTCTTGGAGAATAACTTCTTCAAAGCTGTTGAGGTAGGCTATAAAATCTGGATCATTACACTTATATTTCCAACCTGCTATATTCCAGGAGAGAATTTTTAAGGGAAAGTTAGCATGAGGTTGTGCAAGCTTAGGCTCATGGAGCTTGTCTTTACACTCTGAATCATTTCCTCTTTGTTATGATGTTAGATTCTATTCTGCATGATTGCATGATACTTGTAGAAGATGTTTAAATGTCTTTTTTAGGTTTAAATATCATCTATCTTTAAATGTCAGGCTACTATCTGCCTGCCTGACCCCATTGCTGTACCCTGCATGGATGGACCATCCACGTCACTGTCTCTCTTTTCTACCACTGCCTTCCATAGCAACCCAAATGTGGCTAGAGAGAAAGAGAAAGAGTGAGAGCAGGAGAAAGCCAATCCCACCTTTAGGTTTGGGGTGTGGCTTTTCCAACAGCCATTTTCTTCAGTGGTAGTGTGCACGAAGGCACTTCAAAGATGGTGCCAAAGGGCTTTGCCCATTTGCCACTGGTTCAACATGGGTTCAGGTGCTAGGTCCTTTAGTGATGGTGAGGACATTTATTATAGGAACTTACTGTTTTATATGTGTTATTAATGTACTGTTTATCTTATTGTATTTTATGGTTAACCACCCAGACAGCTGTCTGGGCTATGGGGTGGTAAATAAATATAATCAAATAAATAAATCTTGATGGATTTGCACCTGTATAACTTATTACCCAGTTGTGTAGCTATCTTGGTTTTACTGTTCTCTGACCTAAATTTTTCCCAACCTTCCCTTTTGAGAGCAGTTGGACAGGAGGATTGTTTATACAGTTATCTTTTGGCTTAGACATGTTAAGAGAGTCCGGCATAACTGTTCCAACTAAGAGTTGTTCCCCTCCTCTTAAGCTGACCAACACAAAGTTCAGTAGGGTAGATAGATGCTCCTTGTATTCGGTCAAAAATACCTTTTTCTTGGATAGATCATCTGCCCAGCAGGAGAAGAGACTCCTTAACAGGTCGTATTGGTTGCTAAGTAGCTGTTTTTCAAACTGGAAATCTGCAAAAACATCATTGATATTCATAGGATGGGTATCCGGCTGTGTTGCTACTAAAACATCTTCTTGCTTGTACAGTTGCAAGTGGATGTCTGGGTGTTAATGGTTCTTAAATTTGATCTAGTGCTCACCAGAGATCTGCAGGGCAAAGCTTCTGAACTGCAGAAGACCTCTCCTGCAGAAGCCAAATCAGCAACTAAGCTGCCCCTACCTCTTGTCTATATTTTAGTGTCCAGAGATTTCATTAGACATTTAGGATCAAGAGACCAGTCTAGGGCACCCTCAGTGGATGTACTGGCTTCCCAATTATGATCATTTTCTCTACACAATGGCTTAAAAAAGGAATGATTCTGGGTTGTATAAACATCTTAACAAAAGACTTAACATTTTCAGTCACAGGGGTTAGACCTAACTGTTTGTATTGTTCTCTGGTAAAAACCATTCTCCGACAAGAGGGAGTTTATTATAATAGTGCTGACAAAAAGCCAAAATTATGTATTAGCCAAGTCTTAGGCTTAATCTAAAAATTACCAAGCAGCAAAAGTCTTCCTACAGAAACATTAAGAGCAAAGCAGAAAATGATGAACTGTTGGGCTCACTGAAAGCAAACTTAGAAATACTAAGCTACAAGATTAAGCAGAGAATCCCAAAATCCAAATTCAAAAACAATGCTTGTTGGATTAAAGTCTTTGCATTAACTAATTCCACTTCCTTACTCACTGTGGAGTTGAGCATAAATGTTGCAACAACTGTTTATAGTAATTAATGTAATAAGATACGGGTCTATAGTAAATTTGCTATCATGTCCTTGGTATTTGAGGATTTTAGGATTTCAAATAACCAGGTTAAATAACCAGGTTGAGGATTTTGATAACCAGGTTATAAAAATGAAACACTGCTTTTAAAATTAAAGGGGAAAAATTGAAACAATAACAAGCTTGCAAAGCTAGAACCAAGTTGCTTCCAACTCTTCCACCCTGACCAGAAGAGATGATATATCTACATATCAGCCATCTTTTTTACTTAGCTAAACAACAATGTCAGCACACTTAAACATTCAATGACATATTAGAAATACAAACTCCACAATTCATAATTTGAGACCAACAAATCCACACATACCTTTTAGAATCTTTCAGCAGTTTTTTTTTTGAAGATGGTAACTCAAGGGATTTTCTAATTACAATAAAAAAAGAACCTTGAAAAACATTTTGTACTTTCAAAAATTAGGGATTGTCCCCTAACAATTTGGTATATATATGATTTTAATTGATTTCCACCAGAAGTAGTGATTATATGTGTCCTTCAAAAGTATTTGGCATGAATGTACAAGATTATATCTTTTCCTTCTGAAACACTGGGCATATATTTCCTTCAAATCCTAACAAGCTAAAAAAATAGGAGGAATGTCATGTTAGTACTATTACATGCTGTCACCTTTCATCAGGAAACAAGGGTACTTTTCCATCATTTGAAATGTCATCTTTACAGCTCATCATTAAAGAGGTGATTAATCAAGGTCTTATGCTGGCATGTATATGGATAAGTGGCACATCCATCATGAGACTGTATTTTCCTGTATCTTACTTTGGAGAGAGGGGTCATCTAAGAAGTCTTCATGGGATTCTTTGAGTTCTCCAGGTCTTGCTTCACGATTTTCACTTCTAAGAGAAATTTTCCACCACCTGAAAATTACCTGTAAGTAGAGAATATTATCAAACATTAAAAATGAAGTTCAGGATATTTTATATACAATATTTTGCTTATATTAGCAAGTATTTTAGATTCAAATACTACAATTCTATACCCTTCTGATAATTACACCAGGAGGAATTGCATCAGATTATAGCTACTTTTCCAGTACCATATGTGATCCCTGAATGTTAGAATACCTTCATTCTTTAAGGGGAAAACTATTCCTCCTTTCTGGTGTGCAATCCTTTTAGCTTCTCAAGTATGACATATAATTAGTATCTCAGCTATGCAAGTGTTTGCATCAAGAAGAGAGAACTGACAATTCATGTAATTATCAGAGTGATGTCTGATTAAAGCTGACGGCTGGAATTCAAGAAGCTATTTGATGCATATTCAAAGTCTGGTTGCGTACAGTGGAACTGTTAACTATTTTTCGTTTTGAACAGCAGACTCCCCAACTATGTCATAAGGTGCTTTTTAAAGGCCTTTTATTTTCAAAAGTGCTATTCTTATGAGAGCCGGTGTGCTATAATGAATGAGAACTGGACTGGAACTCAGGAGATCTAGGTTGCAGTTCTTTTGGCTACAAAGTTCTCTGACTGAGTTTGGTTTGTCATTAACTCTCAGCCTATCCTACCTCATAGGGTAGGATAAAATGGATTATGTAATTTGCCTTGGATTTCTGCCAGGAAAAAGGTGGGCTATACGTATTTTTAATAATATTAATAACTCAAACCCACTCAGAAAGAATTAATTGCATTCTGCATACAAAAAACCCAGTATAATAAGCTACAGGGGAAGCATTACGGAGGAAAATTTGGGTATTTATTTCTTGTGTAAACATTCATCCTTCAATTCTATCAACTAAATGGCACATTGTATCAATCTCTTATAGAAAATGAAGACATACAGCTATACTGATATAGCATGCCTACAAGCCTATTATTTGCTTCATGTATCTGTTTTCCAGAATTTGTGTTTGTACACACTTCTACAAATGTATACTTTTGAAAATGCACAAATTCCAAAATGCAAATTTCCATATTTAGTCCATAGGTAAAAGTACACATTTTTAGTCAGAATTATTCATTTATTTATTTATTGTATTTTCAAGTATTAAAATTGCATACCATTCCAGAAACTAGAAAAATACTGGTCTGCAAGACTACGTAATCCATGCAACTCAGGAAAAACCGGTCTGTTGTGGAAACTGCAGGTCAGATTCATAGACCAATGAACCTATTTGAATCTATTACAGATTCTTCTGACATCCCTAATTAGGAGCTCAGTTTAGTGCTGGTACTCAAAACAAATTATTGGGATCTGAATTGGTCCAGACATTGGTTGGTAGAATTCAGGGTTCTAGTTAAACAATAGATACAGAAATCCTTAAGTCTTTCCAACATGTCCTTGGAGACACATTTAATAGAGAAAGCATGTTCCCCAGAAGACTGTTAAACAAGCACCTGCACTTACTTCTGGGTGAAAATTAATGGGTGGGTCAAATTCTGGCATGCATTGTAGCTCTCCTGATCTCATAGGCCTATGGATTCTATTTTATCCTGTTCTGAACTTTGGACAGAGGTACTATGTTTAAATGGGTCAGTTGCATACCTTTTAAAATATCATATACCTGAAGAACATGTAAAGTCCAAACTTCTGTATGTTTACGCAGATGTAACTCCTACTGTGTTTAATTGGGCTTATTCTCAAATAAGGATGCATAAACTTGCAGCCTTAACTGTTCACTGTATACTGTGTACTATGTTGTCTGACTACACCTACGATATTATATTTTAAGTACTATTAGACTAAATCTTACAGTAATGAAGAAGACAAGATTGAGTGCTGTCATCTAGTAAAGAAGCTTTTAATGAGTAAAAAGAAGACAGACATAGCATATCATTTATTATAATTCCATTACTCTCTTTAATATCTAGGTAATCTGAAATGCTGGAACATACACTCAGGGGGAAAAATAACCTTTCAGGGCCTAAGAATAGGAAGCAACTATACTCTTCAGCTAGAGTAACTTGTCATTATAACATATACTTTGTTGTAGTATTATTACAAGTCATCTTAACAGTTTGAGAATCCTGTTGGAGTTACTGTGATATCACTTTTTTATTCCAAAGAAGTTTATCCAACTTTTAAAAATATATTTTAAGCAACATGACATGAAAAGCTTTATACTTCAGTGCACTGTGACACCCAGAATGCATGGGTGACACCCAGAGTGCATAATTGTGTGAATTATGCATGGCTCAGGTTTTATGCACCTGTAATACTGTTGCGGCACAAAAAAGGGTGTGTGCACTACAACTCTAGTAGCATCCTGTACTGTCAAATAGAACAGAACTGACAAACCTCCTTCCCAAATCCTCCAAAACCCAGAAATTGCTGCAGTAGTACAGAATGCGGGGGTGATGAAGCGTCCAAACTAGCTTCCAAATACAAAACAACTAAAATTACTCCCTCCCAAGTGCCTGATCTTGGTAATGGACTGGATGAGGCTCAATAAACTGAAGTTCAAGCCATATAAGAGGTGCTATTGATGGGCGGTTCATCTGTTCAAGCTGGCAATCCGTATGATGTTCTGGATAGGATTACATTCCCTTACAAGAAAGAACTACTCTTTGGAGAGATTTGTAGATTCAGGTTCATTGATGGAAGCACAAATGGTGTCCATAGGTGTACCAACTGTGAGCCTTTCTTTAGCAGAGAAATCCTAGCCTCTAGTTCATGCTTTGAAACCTCTAAGGTAAACTACTATACTGCATGATGATGGTTTAAGAGGACTAACTGAAATGGGCACTACACACACATTGTGCTGATGCCAACATCTATAAAAGCTCCTGGTCAGCTTCTGAGTCCTAATTCAAAGCACCAGTACTTAATTCCTGCTAAGTCATGGAATCGACTGGGTGACTTTTGGCCAGTTGCAGACTCTCAAGCCAACTTACTTCATAAGGTAGCTGTTGGGAGCAGCAGGAGGAGAATTATGTAAGCTGCTTTAAAAGAAAAAGGTGGGATATAAATCTAATAAATAACAAATCTCCTGCTGTCTCTGCTGTCACAAACATAGTGAACACCAGTGACAGTAAAGAGCAGGGGTCCTCAAACTTTTTGAATAGGGGGCCAGTTGAAAGGCTGCAGTGACCATCACGGGCCGGTGAAGTGGGGGTGCCTGGGGGTGCAGGCAGTGAGGTGCCGTCAGGCGTGCGCAGCAGTGGCTCACTCGCTCGGAGATCTCCCAGCGAGTCCAAAACCATCTCTGAGTGAACAAGCCACCACCTCCCTGCCCGCGCTGCGAGGCAGTGGCAAGCGCATGCGTACAGGAAGCAGATGGCAGTGGCTTGCTCGCTCGGAGACCATTTCCGAGCAAGCAAGCCACCACCTCCCCACCCGCGTGGTAAGCGAGCGCACGGACGGCAAATGGTGGTGTGGGCCGGATGGATGGCCATGGCGAGCCAGATCCGTCCTGCGAGCCGTACTTTGAGGACCCATGGTAAAGAGGCCCGAGGCTTTGGCGAATGGGGCGGCATAAAAATGTTTTAATAAATAAATAAATAAAATAAAGAGCCTTCTTGGTGGCAGTGTCCCACTTGTGGAATATTCCCCCAAGAAAAGCTTAGTTGACACCTGATCTTGTCTATTTTAGTGCTAGGTGAAAACCTTATAATGTCCAAGGCATTTTAACTGAGTTTCATCTTCAGTTATGGTTTTACGCTGCTTGGTCATGCTCTATTTTATATTTGTTACTATTGCTCTTTTATTGTATATCTGCTATTATTTCAATTCTATTGCATTATTTCTATTTCTGATATTTCTATTTACTTATATTTCCTTTGCTAAGCTGCCAATTACTTAAAAAGTCCCTAGGCAGCTTACAAATATAAAGTTTACATCAACAACTTTCTGTGAAGAGCAGAGATTTGTAGCTGAAGTGAACAAAATTGTAAAATTCAGTTAAATTACTTCAGTAATAATGGAACAGAAAACAAATGATAAAAGCAGAAGCTTAGAAAAAGCAGCAATCACACTAAAACTAGAAACAAAATCCTGTAAAAGCCTAAGATGAGAAAAGTATCTACTTGCTACTGGAAAGACAACAGACTTAGAGCCACTGGAGTGTTGAAGGTGACACCATTCCAAAAAAAGGACACTATCAGTTACATAGTTAAAATCTGTGATACTGCCAGCAGTTGTCAGGTCTGAGAGATAAAGGTTATCAAGCTATCATTCAGTTATACTGAGAACCAGACACTCTAGAACTCTTTTCTCAAGAAGAGAAACACCCCAAAACTTTGGATGGAGTAAAGCAAGTAATAGATTTCTTTTTGTCATTCATTCACATATGTACCTTTCAAACTCAAGATCATAGCAACATCCTTTTCCAATACTTGAATCATTAGAGCAAGGCAAAAAAGAATTTGTAACAGTTCAACTTTTTCAAAAGAACTTTTACTTCAGTAATAGCTATGCAGTAAGTTAACCGCATCTTGTTTTACCTTTTCATCCAAATGGTAATTAAAAGAACAAAATAGTCAACTCATCGATGCAAAAATACATTTGCTTTAATATCTGCACTTTTCAAATCTAGGAGAAATCTCTTCCCCTCAGTGCCACCATGGTGGGAAAGAATTAATACTAGCCCTGATGGCTACCTACTATATGGACCAGAGACAGGACCCCTATGTGCATCCTTTGCTGGGGTCCATGGACAGAAGGGTGCTTTTGTACTGAAGCCCTCATGGGCTGCTGGTAGGCCACTATGTGAACAGTAGCCAGATGGACTCCTGGTATCATCTAGCACAGGTTCTCTTATATGTTTATACAAGGAGGAAAGGAAAGCAATTTCCATGGTTAAGAGTGCTCTAAATTATACTGTGCAGAACTGGGCAGGAATTCGAATCCAGCTGCCCCAGGTCCCCAGTCTAGCACTTTAACTACCACAACACACTGGCTATTTTGTGAGGATGGATGACTTCATTTTCTGCA